AGAGGACACCAAGACGGTGTCCTCTCGTGTTTATATGCACGGCATTGAACTTCACTCCGTCATGATGAGAAAATCGGGTGTTCTTTTAGGCGCATCCAAAATATGCAGTTGTCTACGCGATATCTTTGTAGTGAGCTGTCTGTACAAGAAAACACTGGAACTCGTCTGCTAAATCTCAAGAACCCTTGGAAATGATTGTGGCTGTTTTAGCCATCAGATGATTCTTTTCTTTCAACAGAATCATCAAGAAAAAGGTCTAGAAGATTACCACATCCCGTCAACCAGAATGAATCGTCACAAGAAGCGTGTTTATATGCGTTAAAAAGAGGTATAAGTGTGCTCACAAAGCAGTTATATTAGGTCATCCCATTCAAAGTGCCGAGACATATAGAGGAATGGCAGAAAAGCAAAGGGGATAGAGCAGCGGGCTACTATACCATTTCGAGGCTAGTACCTTTAGCTATGTATTATTTAATGAACCTACCACAGAAGAAACTCTTGAGAAATTGAAAAGAAGCCTGAGTGGTGAAAATCAGCGCCGGATTTTCAAATCAGGCGTCATAAGAGGGAAGTGCGCTGCTCAAATTTGACCTGCGCCGGACCAGTAGTTGTGTGTAATGGTGTTCTCGAAATACAAGGTGGAAGGTTTGGTTCAGGAGCCCGAAGAAGGAAGAAAGGAAAAAAATTGTTGTCGTGGATGGTCCCATAATGTTCATCCTGCACAAGAAAAAAGGGTGAAGTCAAGCGCTGAATGTCTGATCACAGAGCCTGGACCTTTGTCGAGCTTGCCCGCGAGACTGGCATCCCTGCCACAACTGCTGCCCGAGTTATGTCTGATAAATAGGGCAGTGCTGGGACACAAACAATACTGAGACCTGGGTTCAATCGCCCCATTCGCTCAACATAAAGCCGTTCGATTCCAACTGTTCTGGTCAGTCGAGGGTACTCTCCGACGGCAAACGCTACAATGTTTTGTCATTCGCCGAAATTGGCATCAACAGCAATTTACTCGCACTTGTTGAAAAAACGAAGGTACCAGAGGTCCAAAGGCTTTCGGGGCACTGGGAGGTGTGAAGGAAGGACTGGGGGGATATATTTAACTCAAAGCCAAAATATTACTTTTTTCATCTATTCTCCTCCTTGTTTTATTCAAATAAAACCGCCGACACTTTTGAATGGGATGACCTAATATTATTACCATGGATAAATGCAAGGCAATCCTGCAACCTCGTATAGAATCAGCCACTTTTTTGGAAACGAGTTCATCTTTGCAAGTCCCTACAGGTATCCTGAGTCAGGGTCAGCTTTTAAGCAAGTCCATCAGAAGTGCAGTTGGACAGGCTGGTACGTCTGGCATAGTTATACAAACTCATTCAGAGTAGGTAGACGTGGCGGAATCTGCTGTGTGTAGAGATTGATTCTGGTTGCCCACATTTCAAGAAAAAGAACGTAAGCTCTTTCCTGCATTTGATGGATACAGAGCACGAGCCTGTATCTTCATAGAAATAATGAAACGAAATAGGACCGAACTTGGAGACGGAAAAAGAGAAAAACACAATGCGAGCTAAAATAAAAAAAGAGCAGACTAAATGCTGCTGTTAATTAAAAGAGGAAGGAAATGTCAGGGTTTATACATCCATTCATGGTATAATTTTTGATCTGGTTGTAGAGAACAGCTTCCTAGAAGATAGTAGTATGTCTCTAGTGAAGCATTCACCGAGTAGAAGCGATTTCACATGTTCGCGTATACATCGATTCATAACAAGATGTACCGTACTGTTGAAAATACCTGGAAGTGATAATGGGTTACGCTCTGCTTGTACGAATGTTTGACTCATTAACCAGCACAGAAGAGCAGGACAATGAAGAAGGGACCAATATACTGAAACAGAAAAATCGCCACGAATACTAATGATACTAAAGATGACGCATGGAAAGGTAACGAAGAATAGGGAAATAAGTAGAATCCCCGCCGAGATCCGATTAGCCTGAACAAACTTCCAAAGGCATACGCATAACATCTCGCTTTCTGG